TTGCAGAGGAGAACCACGCAGCTTGATCCTGGCCAATGACACAACTGATGGTGTTGGGAGCCTGAATCTACTTCTTTTCCTGAGATACAGTACCCCAAATTAGGGCAGAGGGAGAAGGAAGGACTATGTGCTTCTGTGGGTATCCTAAAAGACTTTGATATCTTAATGAAGACATTAAGTCACTACTTTAAGTCTGTATAGCTTTAAATAAACATTTCCTTTCCTTTTCACAAATCTCTGGCATTGAGAGATGTCTTTCCTCTGGCAGCAGACAAGCGAACCTGGTAGGGGATCCTTTTGGTAATAGTATATCATAACCCCTTTGCCCCCATGTTCTGTAACAGTATTACTTATATTTTTCATAGGAAACTGAATGCTATAGATAATATATATTTAATCCTTACTCACAGTTGATTGATCCTGCAATTCCTTGTAAAGTGTACATATTTACCTTTTCTCTTTAGAAATACCAAAATATTGAAACCTCATTAATCTTACAGAAAAGAAAAAATGAACCTAGCAGTTTAAGCTAGTATGTACTATGTTGACACATGTTATATATTCAATGAACATGTGTCAGAAGGTAGTTTTGAAATGACTACCTTCTGACCCTCCAAACTTCAGTGTCTTCTAACTGATTCCTTAAGCCAGGAAACCTGGCTGACTAGACCCTCTATTATTAAAAAGATTTATAAAATCACAAAATATTACACTACTGCATTTACCCACCTGAGCAATTATAGAGGAGGAATAAATGAGGGAAAGGGGAATAAAAACAATTCATAGTTGAGCTTTCTTTATTTATATTCTGCACATTAAAACATATTTTGTGCAATTGCAAGATTTCAAGTATGCAAATATGCTGATTTCTCCACTACGAAGCTTCATGACTTTAGTCAAATTCTTAGGGCCTTATCCCTGGTAGCTGACAAATCATATAATTCTAAAGTTCAAAGAGATCTTTTAAAAAAATAATGTTTAATTAGTGGAGGACAAGGAAATATACATTAATGCAACTAAGTGGCCTTCAGAATAAACTCTAGATGTGTTAACCTGTAATTTAAAACTTAATTACCTTAAAATGATGTCATATATTTGAAGGGAATTAATACTTAGCACCAACCTTTGAAATAGCTGGGCTGGGACAGTGTTACCCACAAGGAAAACCAATGATAATTCAGTTTGCTATCTTAAGAAAGAAAAATTCTCTGAGTCATAAAATTAGCATAACAGATGAGAACACAGTATTAAAGATACACTGTAACAACAAGCTGCAATATCAAAGCTGTGGAAAAGTATGAGAGCAATGCTGATTAATACAAGTATTTTTTAAAGCCCTTAATTTACATGCATCTGCAGTCTCAAGAAATACACATTCTCTAACTGCTTTTTCTCTCCTCATTCCATGTCAAGTGTCTCAGGGAACCGTTGTGGTGAGCAGTTTTAAAGAGGGCTTTTAACATCTACGCTCTCTCTTCAAAGTGGTCATTTAACCAGCACCAAAAAAAGTTCATATCCCCTCCTTCAGGTTCTCCCACCACAGAACAGCAAAATAAAGGTCCGCTGTAAATAATTAACTTTTATGTACTCACAAGGGGTAGAAATCAAAATTTTCTGTTTACTTTCTATAATATTTTAGAAAGAAATAGTATGGCTTTTCAATGACAACTTTGTTTTTCCAATTTATGTTCTACAATATTCTACGACAGCCCTACAAATCCAGTACAGTAGTTCAGGGACTCACCACAGAGCTACCTTTAAAAGAAAGTAGAATACATTTCACTGCTCCATCCATACAGGGGGAAAAAAGATTTTGTAGGCCTCCCCAGATTATTCGATTTTCAGTAAATAATAATAATCCGTAAAAAAACCTCCAAAAGATAGAACCAGTAACAATCATAGTTCAGGAGAGAAAAAAGTTACACTTGCCAAAACCCATTCCTAAAACACGTGACAAGGGTCTTGTGGCTTAAATTTGCAATCGTCATAAAATGGAAGCCCCCAAAGTTGTAAACAAAACGCAGGGTGCTCTTTTATTCATGACATGTCAGGAACAAATTACCAAAATGTGTTTTCTCCTCAGGTGTCAGTTTTTCCCCCTTTTAGTGACTGATGGTTCCCAGTGTTATTACAGAAACAGATTGATCTTTTTAATGAGCCAGTTTAATAGACTCCAGAATCTCAACGTGGCTGCTCATCCATGTCAGACCATATGCACCAACAAAACATTCAGTAAAACAAAAAAAGCTCTGCTGTCAGGCAGCTCTGCACTCTATACCATTTCCTACAGTGGGTCTGGATGTACAGATAAGTGATCAGGAGAGGAAAATGCATATGCAAACGAGATGCCGGAAATATATGCAGAGGAATATTATCGAGGCCCATAGTTTCTTGGCCATGATCAAATTCCCACAAGACACAAGTGTATTTACACAACATATTCCCATTACCCTTCCTCCTAACTCGAAGGAAGTCCGTTTGCCATTTTCCCATGATAACACACATTTCAGGGTTCCACCTGACAAAGAAGGCTCCACCCAGAGAGCAAGCTGGTTAATCCTGCCTCCAGCAGTCACTGCAGTCTCTGAGTAACAACAGGGAGAATAAAACGGCAGGCTCTAAGAGAGTTCTACCTGGCTGAAGACAAACACGCATTCATACACAGCCACAGCTCACCAAGAGAAAAATGCTGATTTTTTTGTGTCATTTATTCAATTCCGTGTTAGCATATCATTCAGGGCTTACCTCGGCACTGTCCAAGGAAAGTCTAAAGGCAGAGTACATTAAAATATAAAACAGTAGCCCTGGCTGGTGTTGCTCAGTGGATTGAGCATGGGCCTGTGAAGCAAAGGGTCACCGGTTCGATTCCCAGTCAGGGCACATGCCTGGGTTGCAGGCCAGGTCCCCAGTGGGGGACATGTGAGAGGCAACCACACATTGATGTTTCTTTCCCACTCTTTCTCCTTCCCTTCCCCTCTCTCTAAAAATAAATAAATAAAAATATTTAAAAATATATATGTATATATATAAGAAAAACACCAGAAAAGAACCAGTGGGTAAATGGCTGGGAATACAGAGAAATGAATGAGGAAAGTTTTTGTGTTGCTGGTTATGGCTACTTTGCAGTTAGGGTTTTTAGAATACACTGTATCTATTTCCAGCTTTGCCCACAGGATTATCTTTCCATTTAGCACAGCTATCTAAACCTTCCCCTGTTACCCTCTCCTCCACCCAAGTAAATGTTCTTTGTTCCCATTTCCCACCCAGTCTCTCCCTAATTCTTTTACTACATGGTCATGAAAAAAAATGGAGCTGAAACACCTCAATACCTGCACTCAGTATGGATTTCCTGCAGAGCAAATGGTTAGGAGCAGACAGAATGCACATGTCAATCATCTATCCTTGGGCCACTTCTTGGATTTCAGGATCCTGTGGATGGGGCTCTCAGACACCTGGACCAAGCAGTTCCCTTTAAAAGCTAAAGTACTAAATGCTTCCATATGGGCAAGGAAATAAGACTTGCAAAAATAAGAAGTAGCACTATTAGTAGTTCGTATATGAAGGTGGGTCTACGGTATGCCAGAAGTAAACTAGTGTTTAACCTTTGCTTCAGTGACGTTAAACTATTAAGAGGTCCTATGTCAAGAGAAGATAAATCCCAGAGATTGCAGCATAAAAATTATGGTAACTATATGTAACCCGGCTAGCTTCTGATAACCTTCTGATTTGCAAAGCAGCTGATACATTCAGGGCAGCCAAGTGAGTTACACATAGATGTCTCTGAGCAGCTCCAAGGACTGTAAACTCCTATCAATCTGGAACATAATTGTGGCCAAGTGCTGACCTTTCAAGGGCTGCTACACTCATGCCTGATGAAAGAGAGAATATATAAACGGGGAAAGAAAACAAAGTACAGAGCATACAAGTTTTCTTTTTCTTTTTCTAGATACGTCTTTTTTTAAAAGTTTTTATTTATTATTTATTTCTAGAGAGAAAGGAAGGGAGGGAGAAAGAGAGGGTGTGAAACATCAATGTGTGGTTGTCTCTCATGTGCCCCCTACTGGAGACCTGGCCTGCAACCCAGTGCCCTGACTGGGAATCAAACTGGTGACCCTCTTGTTCGCAAGCCACTCAGTACACTGAACCACACCAATCAGGGCAACAGATAAGTTTTTGAACACCATTTTCATTTTCAGATTTTCCATGTTTTACTACTGCCATATAAAATGTTTCTAATAAGACTTTGCATTCCTACATTAGAAAATTATTATATATGAGAATGAAACAGTAAAGAAAATTATTTGAGTAAGGTGCATGAGCATTTTCATGTATATGCCTTATTCAACAACTACTTTGTTGAAGGGACTTTATTTTACATTTCTCGGGATTTTTGCTAAGAGAGCAGAGTTTCTGATAGGATAAATACTGGCTGATAAATAAAATTTTTCAGCAAAAATGCCATTTATTATCTTTATTATATAACTCTTATCTTCACTCAGTTCACTTAGCTTCCCAGAAGATTTCTCTTGGTTCACATAAAAGCAAATTAAATAGCTATTTCATTGTGTTTACTGAGTAATATATAAAGGCCAGCTTTCAAAACCATCATGTTTTGAGACAACTTATAACAGCACATTTCCTAACAGTGAAGGGTAAAATATGGGTTGAATTATACAATAAATGACAGTTTTAAGACTGTGTGTCTAAGAACCCTCAGGGGTGCCTGGCATATCTGAATATCATTCATCTTTACCTCTTACTTTAATATTATTTGCAACAAAGATTAAGGTGCACAAAAGCCTGACTGACACAGGCCAGAGATTCAACATTCTGCAGCATCCCAGGCCAGAGAAGGGTCCCCAAGTCAGACACTTTAGCTTATTGCTATTTTGCAAGAGGTGAAGGTCAAGCCGTGTAGATGTCACGTGAAACATGTCCTCATACCAGAGGTACAAGGGAAAGGCCATGGTCATGCCGTCCACAGTCCTCCTCCCTCTCACCTGTCTGGAGTTCGCCTCTTCCCGTTTTCGTTCACGTCGAGAAGCAGCTCTGAGGAGTCAACAGGTGAGGTGGTGCTGGCATCCAGAAGCAGCTGTTCGTGCTGGGCGAGGTACTGGGCAGGGTTCTGTTTGGCCAGCCTGGCGCAGTGCAGGAGTTCGCGCTGCAGCAGGGGCAGGTTCGCCTGCAGGAGCACAACGAGAAGACATGGATGAACCAAGCCCGCTTTCCAACCCTGAAGAGCAGGCAGCCTGACTAAACAAAGATGTCCCTGAATGTATGCAACAGGGCTGATTCTCAGGCACACACCTTGGCACTGGGCTGCAAGGCTCGCCTTTCCCTGAACCCGGATTGCCCCAAGTGTGAGGTATCTGACCTTTATAAACCACCTCACCTCTCCGGCTTCCATGGCCACTAAGAACACTGGGACTGGCACCTCTTTATGTTTACAGTCCTTCGTGCTAGAACATACTGATTACAAGCTCTACAGGATATGAGGTTCTACTCCATCTATAAGCATCTTTTGCTTTTTCACCACAGAAAACAGAGGGTATGTGAAATACATACGCACTTCAGTTAATTTCCAAACAGGCTTCCTGACATACTCATTTTTGTATCTAGTAACTTACCCAGGTAAAACAGGCTAATCCTATGATATATCTCTGGTCAACTACTAACTTGAAGAAAAAAACAGAGAGAGATGAACGTAGACATTACTTTCAGTAATAATCGGATGCATGCATCTCAGTAATGCCCTGAGTATGGCCGGACATCCCAGGGGGAATTCACGCACAGAGCAGCACACACAAGAGGTGCACAGAAGTAGCCTGCTGTCATCCTTAGTCTAAAAAATACATGCATTTTAATAGGAGGAATCCTGTGTGCCCATCACTCTCACTTCTCACCAAGACCTTTGAAAAAGATTCTCAGAACATGCTTGTTGATACACAGTTCTGGCAATTTCAAATGTAATCATAGGGAAAGAGTCAATTTCACACATAGTAAAGCATTAAAATGAAAATGGAATTTTACTCTAAAAAGTAAACTTACTCTGACATTACCAGTCCAGGTGGCTGTTGCTTTTTGTGTTTTTCTTCTCTCTCTTTTATTTTTTATTCTTTCGGAGGGGAGAGGAACAGAATGCCCAGTGTGGCAGAGTGAATGGCACTCATCCCCAGTGACACTTAACTCTCCAAATTCAAGGAAAGGTCAGTGTCATAAATCTCTGCAACACAAGGGTTTATTTGTAGAAGCCGGGTGCCACGTACATGAACAAACCCGTCAAGAAGAAAAGCATTTCTGAATAAAGGAGGCTCCAGGTGGCCCTTCTAGAGCATCAGAAACAGGCCTGAAGGCTGGACTTGAAACCCAAGTGCATTTTCCAAGATATGAACCAAGGAACCGTCTCGTAATAATGCCAAAGCATATTTCTGCACAAGGTATAAATAAAATACTAGGGTATTTGCTAAAGATAAACACATACCGCACACTGTAGCAATGAAAATAACTTCCTATACCAGAACAATGCTAAAAATAAACACTGTACAGTTACTCTACAGCACAGGTGGCAAACACAAGGCCCAGGGGCCAAATCCAGCCCAGCACCTTGTTTCTACCTGGTGGCAGCGCCCAGCTCTCGCTTAACTGTTAAGGGTCAGTTACATGTATACAGTCCTAAAGTTACATTCAGCCCTTTGAAGGCAACCCCAAGGCTGATGTGGCCCCTGGTGAAAATGAGTTTGACACTCCTGGTCTAGAGGATCATGTGGGCAATAAATATATTTTCAAGTATTTTTTAAACTGTCTTTTTTCCTAGTGAAGGTAGATCTCAGATATATGTGCCATCGATAAAATTAACAAAGAGCAACTCCATGTGAACATTTAAGAAGTTTTAAGAATCATTCTGAAGTATAAGATTTTAAAGATTCATAGCAGTGCTATTTATAATAGTCAAATGCTGGAAACAGCGTAAGTGCCCATCAGTACATGGGTGGACCAAAAAACAGTGGTACATTTACACAGTGGAATACTATGCAGCAGAAAGAAGGAACCCCTGCCTTTTGGAACAGCATGGATGAAACTGGAGGATATTACGCTAAGTGAAATGAGCCAGGCGGTGAGAGACAAATGCCGTATGATCTCACTTATAAGAGGAATCTAATGAACAAAATAAACTAAAGAACAAAATAGAACCACAAACATGAAACAAGGAACAGACTGAAAGTGACCAGAGGGGATTAGGGAAGGAGATAATGGTGGAAAGAAGGAGAAAGGGCCAGACAGAGAACATGGATGAGTGACCCATGGACATGGACCGCAGTGTGGGAACTGACTGTGGGAGAGGGTGGGTAGATGGAGGAGGACAAAAATTCAGAAAAGTATAATAGAATAACAATTTTAAAAAATGATTTAAAAATTTTTAAATTGTCCAAAACAATACTGTAAACCTCTCTACTCCTGATTCTTTCAAAAAGTTCCAAAGATAAAAAAACTGTAGGACAAGAATGTACTAATAAAGGACACAAAAAGCTTTGGCTGATGTGGCTCAGTGGATAGAGCGCCAGCCTAAGAACCAAAAGGTCACCGGTTCAATTTCCAGTCAGGGCTCGTGCCTGGGTTGTGGGGCAGGTCCCCAACAGGGACAGTTCGAGAGGAAAGCACACACTGATGTTTCTCTCCCTTTCTCCCTCCCTTCCCCTCTCTCTCTAAAAATAAATAAATAAAATCTTTTTTAAAAAGACAGACAAAAAATATCTCCAGAACTCTATTAAGAAAGCATGAGATTCAGAATAATGAGAAAGGAGGGGAAAAAAATCAGCACTATCCCATGACCTCCTTCATAGTATCTTCAGCATCCTCATCAGGAAGAGGCACCTGGGGCATCACAAACCCCACCCCCATATGCACCACAACCACGGCTGCTGCCCTGCTGTATGACACAGATTCGGTCAGGACCACAGGTACAGGCTCTGTGGAGCTCTACCTGAACATACAGAGACCTTTCAAAAGCAATCAGATTCCTCCTCTCAGGAATGCTGGCAATATTTAACCAAGCAGGCAAACATAGTTATGCCAGCTCAGAGAGACAAATTCCTGAATGATAATCAGGAGAATTGACTCACAGGCTGGACATCTTGTGTGCAGATGTGTTTTGGCAAAGCATTCCCTGGCTGCCATCCAGCAACGGCCTTAATATATTCAGTACAAAAGCTGATTTTAAGATACATAAAATAGTAATCCTGGAGACAAGTTATAAAATACACATTTATTTGGCTTTGTGTTATAGATAATACCTTCTTAGTTTCAGGATCAAATGTGTTTTTGCAAAGACTGTTAAATACTGGATATGGTTAAACCATAAATAAACTTTTTAACTGATGTTTAAAAATTAAGCTGCTTATAAGAAAAGATGTTGTATCTATGACTGCTTTCACCAAAAAGTTTTCTTTAAATTCATCTTATCTATATTTCAGTGGGATTCCTAACTTCCTGTTTAATACAATCTCTGTCATACGACCAAGTGATTAATAGTAAACACGCATGCCTCCGGCCTCAAATTTAAATGTATGGATGGCACAAGACAAGAGGCTTCCACGTGGTACTCAGTTTAATTTAGTGATTCCATAAACATCTTCTTCCAATTTAAAAAATATGGTAATACAAAGCAATTTTGTTTGCTCTAATTCTGGTGCCAGATTAGGTAATTAGAATGGTGTCTAATATCCTTCCAGTAAATGTTTCTCCATAAATGCAAAATGGAATCGAGGGTCTGAGGGTTACATTAGCTTAATGAAAACAAGACTTTAATGCATATTGTTAGAGCAATGTTTGAATGCACTTATTAAGGCCCGAGTTCCCACAACCATATGGTTTTTGTCATTAATGTCTCCTTTGAGAAAAAGCACTAAAATTAGGGGGAAAAAAGTTATATCTTTGATTCCAGTGATCCCAACTAAATGATATGGTAACCATATGGTGTGCAGCGGTGATAGAAGAACATGGAAGTGTCCTTGTAAGCTTTTAAAAAAATTTTTGGCTGCCAACTTGACCCTGAAAGGAGTCTTCCCCCCACCCCCATTCCTTTTCTTTTTTTTTCTTGTAAGCAAAGAAACCAGTGGTATTTGCACAGGAAATGGCATTCACATGATGAAGTCTTTATAGAAAACAACTTTCAGAAAACCAAAGATCCTAGACTCAACTGATGTTCAAAAGTAATTTGCTTTTAAGAATATGTGATTGTAGTGTAAGTCATTTTGGAGGAAAATACATCATACCTGTTACCTTAAATACACAATTAGAAAGGAATGAAAAGAACATAATTAAAATCTGGATTTCCATATAAAAAGCTCTAATGTACTGGTTTGTAAACATTTTCAGAACTAAATTATTTCATTTCACCTCAGTAAGAGTAACAGCAGGAAAGCCTTTCTATCCATAAAGTTTTGAATTTGGGCTCAGTTCAGACAAGCCTTTCTAGGCTTTTGAATAGTTACTGGCACCTTATGTGTCTTAGTTTTTAAAAAAAGATGGACTTTCACACAGGACACTGGTCAGTTATATTTCTGGTGTTTCCCAAATACAGAGTTCTAGGAATCAAAAGCAAAGGTACATACTCTTGCCGAAAAATGGAATCACAGGCTTCTTGGGGTGCTCATTTTGAAAACAACCTTTAAAGGTGGAGGCAAATGACTCTTTCTCATTAGTCAATCTGCAAAGCTCACTGTTAGTATACAGATAGGTTTGTTCTGCCCTGGCTGGGTGGCTCAGCTGGTCGGGAGCACCGTCCCCTGCACCAAATGGCTGTGGGTTAAATCACTGGTCAGGACACATACCGAGGTTGCAGCTTCAATCCCCAGTTGGGGCACACACATAGTGGAGGAACCAATCGACGTTTTTCTCTCACACTGAAGTCTTTTCTCCCTCTCCCCCACTTTCTCCCCCCGCCTTCTTCCCTCTCTACAATCAATACACATATCCTTGGGTGACAATCTTGAAACTGCATTTTAAATGGGTTTGTTCTTCTACGTTCTTCACTGACAACCTACTAAGCCCGAGCAATATATATATATATATATATATATATATATATATATATATATATATATATATCCAAATCAAAGGAACCCTAGTAATCTGCTTTTCTATCAAAACTATCAATTCTTATAGCATCCATCAGTGAATTAGCCACTCGGTTTGTCGAATAAAAACGCCCTTCTTTCTACTGTGCACTCTTTTTGTGTTTCCCAGTTGCTTTATCGAGGAGGTGGTAGCTGGAGGAGGACGGAAGACTGAGGATTGAAAACTGTCCCTAACCCACACCTCACACAGGACTCAGGGAGACACACCCGGGGGATCTGTCACTTATTCCCAATGTCTTAACTGGCGAAGGGATAAGGGTTATTGCAAAAATAAAGAGACGGAAAAAACTCTGAAAAACAAAAAAGTACAGCCAATGCCCTGTTCATTCTAAAGACAAACAAAATGTACAATGTAATTCGAATGACCAAAGAACAAAGAAAACCTTCAAAGAGATTTCTCAACTCTTCTTCCAATTTAACTATTCAAAACACGCTGTATTATAATTTTAAGGCTACTTTAGCCCTGGACTCAGCTGGCTGGAGCATCCTCCCGTAACCAAAAAGGCTGCGGGTTTGATTCCCAGCCAGGGCACATGCCTGAATTGTGGATTTGATCCTGGGTTGGGATCCTACAGGAGGCAGCCAATCAGTGCCATCTCTCATTTGAGTGTTGCTCTCTTTCCCTTGTTGTCTCTATTTCTCTCTAAAAGCAATGAAAAAGTGTCCTTGGGTGAGGATAGAAGTTTTTAAAAAAGGCTTCTTCAGAAAGGAGCATAAAACCATATATATTCAGATAGTTTTCATCCATTAAACTAAGTCGAAGCACCCTTACATTTCTGAGCCCCTCCCTCCTGAACAGAAACACTGTTGTGACTTAGCAACAATACGGTTTGAAATCCTTTCCAGACCAGTGAGCTGTGCAATACCTTCAGAAATGGGATGACGAAAGGTCGCAGTGGGAAGTTAGTAGCTTCTTGCAGCTTGGAATGAAATTCTTCAATTGTCAAAGTGGAGTTCTGTGGAAGAAAATACGTATTATAAACACATTTGCCTCTTGGTAAATAGTAAAATAGTAAAACCACCAAGACTAATAAATTATTAATACTGTTAAAACACAGTGTAAAAACCAGCAGACACACATATAGGAAGCAGTATTTTCAATATAAAACTGTCTGGCTTTGCAAAAAACATCATGTTATAGTTTATTGTATCACCTGCCTCTAAAAATAACAGCTGAAAATAAAAAACAATAAATATGGTACTTTGAGAATAACGTGCATAGTTTTGACATAGAAGGCTCTGCAGTTATGAAAAACATTTTAATATTACCTTTATGGAAAACAAACACACTTGGATGTACTTGAAAGCACAACTGATCACGTAATGGGCCAAAGGCAAGTGTCAGAATCTCAATATAAATTGAGATCCCACACGTCGTGTCTGTGTTACCGCTGGTACAAGTATTCTTCCCCTGTCCTTTCATCTCACATTCTTCCCCTGCCTACCAAAGCATCTTTGCTCAGGATAACGGCTTAGCTGGGCAGTGTGTTGTGCTATTAAAGACAAGGGAAAGGTTTGGGCCTTCTCTGATTCACTGAGTCTAATAGAAGGTAAACAAATTTCCCAGTTATCAAAGCTATTTTCTTTAGCATCGAGGCAATATGGATTGCTCAACCCAACAGAGACTGCAGAATGACTCGAATTCGCCCCTAACCTACCCCATATAAACAAGCCCCAAATATTCAGGGTTTGTATCCTGCAGGGAGTAATGTACATTGATGAAAGCATCTACTTAACAGACAACCAACCTATTATTAAAATGTTGAGTACATTAACTATATTTGGCTCATTTTCCTTAGTCCCTAGGCAGAATCACAACTACAAACTTAGGTCTCAACTTCAAATGTTCCATTATTTTCATGCCTGAAAAAATTGGGGTATTTGTGACCATACAACTTTAGAATATTGTTTCCCCACTTTTTTGTACATTTCTTTTTCCTTTTGTGACAACGTATGGGGCACCAAGATCTAAACTTTTATATCCCCAAATTCACAATATCTTAACAAATTATGAATAAACATTAGCTTCCTATCTGTAACAATACAGGTTAGGAAGCCTTTTTTTCCAATCTTTCATTTTGTTTCTCTTCTTTTTTCAGATAGTAAATATTTTTTAAATCGTTAATTAATTAATTTTATTGGGGTGATATTGGTTAGTAAGATTAAATAGGCTACATTTCCATAGACCACATTTCCAGGACACAGGAGCTGCACATGGCATTGGACGCCCACAACCCGAAGTCAATTCATCTTTATCACCACATAGTAGGCCCTTTACTATCCCCGCATTTTGTTTCTATGACTCATTTTTTAAAACCTCACCAGTTGCATTTTGCACATGAAAACAGATACTAATATTTTTCTAAGTTCTGCCTAAATAACAGCATAATGAGACTCATTATGATTTACTACCTGAGTGCAAATCATGGGCCTGTCACTACCATTTGGGTCACCTCGTGTATTTCACTTCTGTAAACCTCTCTTTCCTCACATACAGAATGTATATAAACACCAGTAGTACCTCAAAGTGTGGTCCCAAGATTTAAATAAAACGGCATGTGTGAAAGCTTGCAGTCAATGCTCAAAGCAAACTCCACCGCCTAGCTAGACACCCACTCATCTGACACATGTTCACTGCCCACTTAATACCTGCAAAGCACTATTAACTAATGTTTCCCCATAACTTATCTCCATAAGGTTTTTAGGTAAATAAATATATTTAAAAAGCACTGCCATCATAAAAGTATGCCATTAAAGATATGGGAAAATCTTAAAGCTATCAAATTTTTCTATATTTAAAGTTATGGAAACCATGGTTAAAGACATAATCAAATTTATAAAGCAGTTGTCAGCAAAAATTCTTACTAGTAACAACATATTAGCCATTTGCTTAACACAGTGACTGTTCTGGATTTACTCTGTGGTTCCTTGGTCTGACTTATTTCGATGTTGAAAAGCCTATTATGCAAAACTCAAGAAATAAATAAAGGGAAAAAAGATAAGAGACTTGACGAAAGTCACTGCAGTGTGCTGACATTCTGCTGTCAAAATCACCCTCCTGTCCTGGAGGAGCACAAGGGGAAGCTGACGGGTTGTGGCAAACACGAAAGCTTTCGTTCTTCGAGTGCAGAGGAGAGGGGGACGGCATCTGAAAACTGAACTGCAAAACTTCGGTCCATGTGCCACACTGATGGGAAGCATGGCCATGGCACTAGGCTCTCACCCAGGCTTTTCATTCTGGGACTTCTTTGACAAAACAGAACTGGGATGTCTTTGCCCCTGATAAATCCACATAATGAACATAAATTATCTATTTCTAGAAAAAAGACACTTCTGCCCATCACCTGAATCTCAGTTCCAGTGTAAGTCCTGGACGATAAAAGCACTGAATATGTGACTCGCAGCTTTTGCGGGGCTCAGTTTGCTACGGGAAAGTCTCCCTCCTAAATGAGAATCTTCTATTTGAAGTCGTAGTAAATGCAAAAGCGATTCAGGACCCTAAAAAATGACATTATGTTCTCATGTCTAGTGCGATATGGAATATACTATAATGTTCCCAAGTCACATGAGAATAATGTTCTATTCTCAAACTAATAATTTAAGTCATTCTACCTAGAACAAAGTTTTTTTCTTTAAAAACCAATTAACCAAAAACCATCTCCCCAGTGGCTGAGGGGAGATGAAATAAAGGTGTTGCAGTTTTTTGGTTACGGAGGCTCAGGTTGGGGAGATGACAAAGGTCTGGAGATGAACAGCAGTGAACGGTACCCAACAGTGAGCTCTTTCCTTGAAAATGGTGAAAACAGTAAATTTGACGTTACATATATTTTACCACAACAAACATTTTTAAAATATTATTAGCCACAAAAATCAAAACACACAAAAGATGTTATTTGTTATAAATTTTTGCTTATCTAGGCTAATAATTAAAGTCCCCTAAAGCAACTAAGTTAAAATGAGCACCCAATTAGATTAAGCGAATCATTAACATAACAAAAATATGTTGTCATGGTGGAAAGGCACTGGACATGCTAGGATTATATACTTATTGCATTTTATACACACATACACATTTACAGCCAAAATAACAGTAAGTTTGGATAACCCTATCTTTATTAGTCAAATAGTAAAAGAAGTCATGGTGGGGGTCAAAACACAATGCAGAAATGAAAAGCCCTGTTATAGAATTATCAGACTTGCATACAGTCTCCAGCAGTAGACGCTTTTAGAACAAACTAGCAGTGACAAAGACGACCGTATTTTGAATCTCCCCCCCCACACACACACACATACAGTCTCTCTTTCTTACCCCAGAGAATTGGGCTGATTTCCATTTGCTTACCACCAGTCCTAGTACGAGGGTGCGAACTCTTTCTCCTATCTCTGGCGAAATGTCATTGCCAAACTGCTGCAGGGTAGTTAGGAACCGTTTCAGCTTACTGAGTTGCCTGGCGCCACAGGCTGGGGGCAGCTGTTGATTAGCCAGAGAAGAAGAGGAAGAAGAGGAAGGCCCATTGCTAAAGCCATTGGGCGGCGAGGGGGCACCATTCAAGGCTGTGGGTGAATGGCTTGTGCCATTAGTTACTGTCAAGGGCACAAAATCAGAAAGAAAAACTTATAGAGAAATGCACGAGGAAATGACAACCAAGCTTCTTTCCCTTTAAATCTTGTGGATTTCGTCATTTAAAAACTGTTGGATATATTAGTTTCAGGTATACAACCCAGTCATTAGACATTATCTCACAAAGTGATCACCCCAATAAATCTACCCACCTGACATCATGTATAGTTATTAAAATATTATCCACTATATTCCCTGTGCTATAAATTTAAAAAAATATATGTTTAAAGTTAAAATAAAACTGCTGGACCTTTTTTGTAACATGCTTTGACTTCACAGGATCACCACAGGCTCCGGTATTCTATAATTAAATGAGTCTACTCCTCACGCCGCATGAGGGTGTTCTGCACAGAAGCTGGTTATAAATGGAGTCGGCTGCGACACAGAGACAGCCCTGCCTCCCATGTACACATATGCCAACCACCTGAAATGTTTCCAACACAGAACAAACATCGCTTGGATGTCAGCCTGTTGTCACCAGCTTACATCAATATAACAGGACTACTCCTTTCTAAACTGCTCCCCTAGAGAAAGTGTACATTTGGTGGAGACTAAATTTATCACTGAACATTTTTAATCATGTTTTGTACACACAACTGACAGCTGTGTTTATAAAAATTGGACTTTCAAGTTTTAACCTTCTACCACCCAATTAGAAGGCTATTTTCTCCCCCTCATATTTATTAACGACTTCTTTAGGGAAAATGCAAATCTTATGGAAGAAGCCAAAATATATATGGTAATTATCAAAGAGTTATTCCAAGAAATTCGAAGGGTACAATGTCTACCCCCAAAATAACAGTTGGTGGTTAATTTGGTAAGTTCACTTCTGATAATACTTCTTTGAAAATCAAGATGATAATCCATCACTAGTGAGCTAGAAAATTTTGCCCATTTCTCCCTAAAGAAAATGGCAATTTTACAATGCTAAATCAATTAATTGGACAAATTGATCTTTACCAAAGATTGCATTTTAAAATACAATTTTAATAAACTATCACCAGCAATTGTTGGAATTAATATTTTAACTGCTTCATTATTCTTAAAGTTTCAGGATAGTTAAAAGGAAAAAAAGGTCTTGTGTCCTACATGAGTACCTGAGCAACCTTGTCAAGAAATCATAGCTCACTAATACTTCTCACAGGAGACATAGGCCCATCACTATGGCTTTGGTTAACAACAAAACAAAAATAAGATGACAGGATTACAACTTGGCACCGTCGCAGCCTGCTGCTCCTTACACTTTTGGAAAGGTCTTCTAAATGGCAATGCAACACTGCATAAACAGCCTGGGGGGTGTATTCTGTCAGTCCCTTTTAATCCCATGAATCTATGTTTTGCCTGTTATTTTTTGTATTCATATAGATTTAACAGCACGTGGTCTATAAATACTATTATCTACAACAGATAGCACTTATTCATTTCACAAATCCTTGATGACAACTTTAACCAGAACTTTGAGACTGATGGAATCAAAGCTACATGCTATCCCTACTACATATACAGGAAGGAAAGAGAGGTTGCGATTCTGTTAGAATATTCTGTCCTTTCTTTAGATGACAGAGAAAGCAACACATTCCATTAATTTGGAACACAAGGCTTGAGCCAAGATGGAAAGGACAGTTTTAAGAAGAGAAAGATGCTCCTTATTTCAGAAAGTTTTCTGCATACAATTGTTGCATAGTCTTTTCTTTTTTTTTTTTGGTATGCAATCGTTAGGTTTAACATTTTAAGCTAAAAATAAAGATTTTAACATAATTTGTAAATAATAGAAGAAAAGAGTATTAGGAGATCAGATATAACCTGGAAATAATTAGTAACATGTTCCAAGTCAAAATGAACAAACTAAAGTAAGGAGCTCCACATTAGGTTGCATTAAAAGTTATAGTGGTAACATCTCAAGTTACAGATCAAATGTGTTCTTCATTCACTGAGATCATAGGAAACTACATTTCTGAAGCAATCGCAAAAAGGCAGGCAAATATTGGCAGTCTTACAAATTATGCCTAAGATATGACACATCTGTACTCAATACCTACTCAGGAGAAAACAATTTATCATTTTTTGCTTCACCTCTGCATAATTCATTGATGCTGGACCTTCTTTTCTCTTAATTTTTATTTGCATTAAAATTTTAATGTAAACTTCAAAATGAAATGGGAAATGCGGAAATGCCTACTCACATGTCGTCGGTGTGAATGAACTGGTTCTCGGGGCTCCTTGAGTTGTTGGGGGTGGTGGCATCGTGGGAGGAGTCAGCCTAGATGGAGTCTTCACATCCACAGGTGAGTCTGGCATCGTGGAGTGCTTCTCAGTCCGATCTGGAGGATGCCACCAGGACCATGTTACTTTCTTAAGCACCTCAGTGTTTTAAGTGGGGTTCATCTTTTTTTATAAGCAAGTAAACAGCAGAAATCCAACATCTATCAATAAAACAGTCTTATCCACTAAAGTTTAAATCAGGACTTTATTATCCAAACGCCACTTACGAAGGTGTAGCACAGATGGCAGGAGTTCATTTGTAACTCAGGCAAATGCCACCTTGGTAGTGTTATAGGCATCCCTACAACTTCCCTCAAAGCAGCAGCCAACATTAGCAAGAGGTACAAGAATAGATGAGGAAGTTCGATGGTAATGACCCACTCAGACGGCTTAGAAATAACACAAATCTGAAGATGCCCATGTGACGCAAGCGGGGGCCAGCGTTTGGCAATTTTTGTGACACCTGTCATCACCTTTCCATACTTAGTTTTCTGGCCTTTTCAATGAGGCAAGTTATGTCTCCAGGACACACATCTCACTTCACTCTTTTCTACCCTGTTTTTGAAAAATTACCACTGCACACGTCATATGTCACACAATGAAGTTGAACTACTGTTCACTTAGAGTTTGTGAGTTTGAGACCTACCACATTAAAAACATGAGACCAATGTTTCAATTAACAATCTCAGGCAGAGTAAGGATAGAAAAAATCCTAAATTAAGAACTTAAAAGAACTAAAGACCCTTCTTATATTTTTTCATGAGTACCTGTTAGATGAGAAATTTCCTGATTACTCAATAATGAACATTTGCACTCAGGGCTCTTTTCTACTAAGTATACTTCTCCCTATTGAATCTCTGGTTTAAAAAAAAGTAGAAGTTTTTGTTTCTTTGCATCCAATTTCCAAAAAAAAAAAAATGTATGAATGTGCACACACCCCCAAACAGGTTCGAGGCAACTCCGGCAGCCTTAGACACAGATATTTCCAGATTTCTTGAAAAGCAACACAGGTTATTGATAAAGAATGGGTCTTTTAAAATATTATAACCATATGGGCACAAAGTTTATTATTTAAAATAACTTAAAAGTCAATTACTAAAAGAAAATGAAAAGCCTCAATTACTATGATGACATCCCAAAACTACCTTCATTCAAGCACTTTCATAAGACTTGGGTTGCGAGAGAACACAGGTGAAATAATGTTGATGCCATATCAAGAAAGAGGTAATAAAATAATGAAAATTGTCATCATTCTTATAAGAGCATTTTGCAAGATGAGCAAGTTAACAGCATCAGGGTCTCTATTTGTTCCTCTCTAAATGCTGGCTGAATAACAATGAATGACCCTGTGGTGAGTAAGTGTTCTGAGTGAGATGATGGCAAAGACAGAGAGCATTTCCACCTTTATCAATTACTGTAAAAAACTGTCTTCATATCACTATTCCAGATCATTCAAAAAAGCAGTATCAGTAAATCAATTATTTTAGAAAAATACAAATTTAAAACCACTTCTTCAATAGTTAAATTCATTGCAGTCTACTCACCTCAACCAACCTCAGCAACAAGGGACTAACCAGCTTTCCACTTATGTTGCAACTGAGGGAAGAGGTACAGCAGCTAATACAAGTCACCCTAAATAAAGGCAAATATTTCTGTCATGCCAAGGAAGGAGGGAGAAGGGGAGGCTTGCCAGAGTCAGCTGGGAGATAACAGTGGGAACTGCTGGTCCATCTGGTTTTCATTCTGCTAACACTCACGCTGAACTGTTAGAGAAGCCAGTCCAGATACACAGACCGAAGCACGTAGTTGCACACAGACAGAGAAAGGAAGAGCAGGAGGGGGGTGGGGATCATGAAGGAGAGGAAAGACCAAAACAGAGAGAAAGAGCCCAAAGGGTGAGAAATTTCCTCTGGACAGATTTGTTTACCTCAAAAGCTAAAAGCTGAGTCCTAGGGGACACAGCCCCCACCTTGCTTACCTTGACATAGTCCTTGAGCAATACCTAAACTTGAAAACATACCTTAAACCCATTTTCTTCATTTTGTTAAAGTAGAAGAAATAAATACAAAAGGAATAAACCACAAAGATGACAACGGGTTTCCTTTTCAAACTTTGGCTAATCTTTATAAAGAAATATATAAACTGCCCAGAAAGATTTTTGATATATTGTAATTTTGATTTGAAAATATTTGGAGTACATATCTTGGTCCATCTTTGAAACCTAATTCCTATCTAGAAAATCAGCAGCAGCAGCATCAAAGGTAGACAAACGATTTTAAATTCTCGAAATGTCATCTGTATGTCGGGAATGATGACAACTGGGCTAATGAGTAGCCTACCTCCACAACTTCTAATAGGAACACACATATGCATTCTAACTGGAATGTATGTAGATCTTTAAGATGCTGACATTAGCCAAGTTTCTGAGATGGTTAGCTTTACTGTGATCAAATGGAGTTCCAACCCAGAGGTCCTACAAACTTCGACAAAGTGGGACCATCTGTACCTCATTCGGGGCTGTTCAGTGCAATCAATCCAGGAGGGAGATGGATGGTGAAATAACCAGCCAGGCCTAACCCTTGCACACACACAGAACTCTCTGGAGTAAAGAGACTTAAAATAAATTCAGAAAATGTGTTTCAAGTATGTTGAGTTATGTTACATTTGTTTTGAATTAAAATAAAAACATTTTGAAATATATATTCTCGAAACTTTTTTAACAAACAGCAAAAGAGCTGATTTAACCACAGCCGCATTTCACTCCCTTTCAAATTAGAAGACACAGTAAAACCAATACTGATAATATTTCTTATGTCATTTTGAAGTTCATGAAAATCATATTGTTCTTGGACATAATTCCTATTTTTAGTTGCTGTAGGAGAAGGCTGACATTTGTTCAAAGATTGACACAAGATGATAATAAAGAAAAACAATTTCTATCAGATCAGCAAGGCATGTATAATCAAAAGAACTAACTTTACCTTTACCTTAATGATTCACACCAGTTCTAAATAAGATTTTCTGTATGTGCTAACATTTTGGCTCACATGGCAAACATCCAACACATATGTACTAAAGCTGGCTGAGGCATGGAGGAAGGTGCAGCATAAATAAATACATTATGGATACCATTTCAATGTCAGGGTCGTCGAGAAATGGTATGTTTTCCATTTCCTTGGGCTTTTTTTTTTTTTTTAAGGAAAAGGAAAAGGTATGCCATAATCTGCCATAGCACTTATTTTCCTTTTAGTTAGTTCAAATAGTTCCAGACATGTTTTTAAAGTAGGAAGAAGACTGCCTTTTTTAAAGGCAGTCTCCATTTTCCTTGTTTACACACCACTCTAGAAGTGATTACTGTAAAAAGACAGAAAGTTTACTATTGGTAAATTGTACATCTTTCTCTATCAGAGTTCATCATGGCAATTATAACAGAATATCTATGTCTCACAAGTGTTGTAGATCGAGGAACTTCTCAGTCCATGTGGAGAAGTTCAGAGTTAGTCTTATCTGAATAAGTGTTACTTAAGAAAAGCTAGAAGGCACGCACTAAAGAGGAGCGCTATATTTTGCCACGTATAATTGCATTTTTTTGCCAAAGTTTCTGAGGGAAAAATAAGGATGTGCATTATACATGGGTAGTACTAATTCCATATCTATGTTTTTAATTCTTTTATTTATGCTTATGCATTAAAAGTGTAACTCTAGAAAGCAATAATAGTATCCATATGCAAAATAATAACCTGGAATATGACAATCGGTTTTGTTTCTAAATATAAATAACAATATAATTGAATTAAAAAATTGAAAGATTTTTTTCTTGATAGTTTGGGCCAAAAACGTGTGCACATTATATGTAGAAGCACATTATACATAGTAAAATATAGTAGTGCCAAGTGCAATGAAGGTGCTACTAATGAAAAGGAGAAGGCAGTTACAGAGGAAGAACACTGGGTATAGAATTTTCTTTTTCTTTCTCTGGAACATATGGCAAATACAGTTCTGACAATACTGTCACTTAGTGACTCCAATGTCTGGGTATGAGATGTTACAGGAGACTAATGCAGTCTTAGGATGGTGGCCATTCAGCCTCCATAATACCACCATCTGATTTCATGTTCATTCCTGCTCAGAGGCCTGAGCATAAAAGTGAAATGCTAACACTTAAACCGTGATGAAGTTATACAGGGGAAAGACACTTGGCCAAAAAATAGGACAATTTCGGGGCTTCGAATGTAGACTAAAGAATTAGTAGTGAGTCCCCAGGCAAGGCAGTTATCCTGAACCTCAGTCCCCCTTAAGAATGGGAATACAACCTTCTCTGCCTCAGCAGGAGGTGGTAAGGGCCTGCTGCACATGCTGGGCACCAACGGGTGTGAGCTTCCTTCTCTGGGGCGTGCCCTCCGTGATCCATTCATGGCTTTATTTCCAACATCTCTACCCGAGACTATGCTCTATTTATACGGGGCACCTTGGTATTCCTGGGTTTATCTGCCTTTCTTTTTCATGCTGTTATTTCTCCTTCATTGAAACGGACCTGTCTGTACCATCTTACACTACCACATTCGTCACTACCACATTATCTTATAGCTTTCCCCAGGTGCCCCAGGCACCAACCACATCATGCTTCTTCTGAGCCTCTTTTATAATTTACCACAGCCTGCATATGCAACTTATGTACGTATTATACACCCAAATAGCAAACTAAATGTAATCATAAGAAGGATGGTCACATTCCTAACTTTTACATATCCACTTCCTGTATCATATTCAGGTCAACAATATCAACCTTAATTTCAGGGCAAAAGACAGATACATAACCATCAACAACAGCATGCAAATATGTAACAAGAGAATGGAATGTAGGTACTAAGGGAAAATACTGGAGACCTTAAATTCAGTTCAACTCCTCGGCTAACTTATTATGTGGATTTAGGCAAGTGTAAGAATGACCTGTTGTTACATCATGTTTTACCATAGGTATTTCTGGAGACTGTTACTTCTGAAACACAAATCTGATTGCAAGTATTCCCTGATTTACATCGTATCCCATTGTCAACAG